AATAATAATAATAATAATAATAATAATAATAATAATAATAATAATAATAATAATAATGATGGTTAAGGCAGCAGGCTAGAAACCAGGAGACCGTCCTGCCTTAGGCATGAAAGCCGGCTGGATGACTTTGGGCCAGTCACTCTCTCTCAGCCCAACTCACCTCACAGGGTGGTTGTTGTGGGGAAAATAGGAGGAAGGAGTTTTTGGTAAGTTTGCTGCATTGAGTTATATATAAAAAAGGCAGAATAAAAATATAATAACAACAACAACATTTTTTCTCAAAATAGAGCAATTTATGCCATAAAGCTGCATTCTTTGCTTTCTTATCCTTTCCAATTTTTCTCATGCTTGCTTATCAGAAGTGAAAGAGAACGTTCAGACAGGTGTCAAACAGATGAATATGCAACAAGAAAATCATTATGAATGGTATCTTTCAGCAATTAAGGTATTTTGTTGCTTTCAAGAAATGTAATAGAAGTGTCTCTTATTTCAGAACATGTGCATATACAGATGAATAAATGGACAGAAATATGGATTCTCCACCAAATAAACTTCCCCTATGGATGATAGAACCAAACAGAGTAGATTCTGTGGGTGACAAAAAGGTAGGAAATCAGAATATATGTTTAGTTCATATAATAACTGAAAGCATGAAAAAAAATCCTCTGTGCAATTTCCAATTTGCATGGAAATTTTCAGGACTACTGACTGATTGTATTCTTTGCAGTTCCTTATTTATTGTGTATTGATTACTGTTGATGTTAGCTTGAAGACATCAAGCATGAATACTTGACGCTGTATTTTCAAGGTGTGGGAATATCCAAGAGGCCACTTATAATTGGGGTTACTAATTTTTGCAGGGAGGTTTCAATCATTAGATTGATTTTTAGACCAGCCTATGTGGGGGTGTTTGATCTAGTAATTTCATTTTTAATTAAGATATACTTTGTTAGCAATGTTTTACATATCCTTCAGTTTCTGATAAATAAGGCAATTGAGAAAGAAGTTTCTCTTGGTAGCATGTGTGTGGATCCATTATATTTGCTAACTTCCTTATCTGTGTAAAAAGTATCTAAAACACTGATACACTTTAAAAAATAGAATTGTGCCTTTTTGCATATAAAAATTACTCTCAAATCAACTCTCACTTTGCTACCATTAACTCAGCAATTAAGTTGGTATTTTCTCCTAAGTTGAAAAGAACTAATATATTATGATGTATGCTAATATTAGGAATTCATTACCCATTCTTAAACACACTTTAAACCAAGCTGTCTTTCACATTTTTATAAAGGAGAAGAATCCATTCCAACTGAGTGTCCTGGAAGATAGCCTTCCATTCTTAGAATACAACGGCTCTATCATCTACAGCTATAATGCTAATGATTGTTCCTTGCTCTCGGAAGATATTCTGTAAGATAATGAAAACTTGCACTTTTTCTTTGTAGTGCATTATTTCAAAATAATGTATATCCCAGTTTTGTCTATAACTGTGTTTTTATTTGATTATCATTACTCATAGCAATTATGAATTATATATCAATCTGTTTATATCATTTACATTTATTGATGTCCTCGAGAGTACCTTTCACTCAGGTTTACATTAGGAGGCTGGAAGGAGAAGTGAACTGTTTGTAATTTGTCAACAAGATGAGATCAACAGTAAATTGTTGATCCCATCCAGGTCAGACAAAATGCAGAGCTATAAATATAATTTATTAACTAAAAATGAGTTGTGGTGATTTGTTACCAAGGTTGTCTGTATTTTTTTTATTTAAATAAATGACATGCTAAACCTAATCACAAAATGACTTAGTATGTAGCATGAATTAGATCAAATTGTTAAATTAATTTTACAGCCCAAGCTTATGCAAGATAATTCAAAAGCAAATCACATTGTCTATATTCATATGTAATATATTTCAGCACCTGTTTGTTTTCAAAGTCCCTATTTTTAAAAAAATCTTTACAACTTGAAGAGTCTTGGCAAAATTTAGTAGATCTGTTTTTCTTAAATGTGGTTTTAAGGTCTCCATTCTGACTTGCTTGATATTCCATATGACCCAGGCCAAAATACCAAGTCAGGATCTGTTTTGTTTAATTGTACTTTATTTGAAGTCAGATCTCATATTGACAACAAAATATATTTCAGCATCAAACTACAATTTGAAACCATGGTTTGATGTTAGTTTACAAATGTCTTATTTTTACCATGGCTTATTGCCTCCTAATATGGAACCTGCTTCATTCCTGGTTTGTCTTTATACACCACTCTACAGAGTGGCAATCTACAGAGGCTTAAAAAAAAAGCCCCCAAAGCACTGCTTTTTGCTTTTTCCAGAAATTCTTAATTCTCTTCAGCCATGATCTTCTTTCTGTACCCACCTTGTTTTTGAGTATAAAGCAGAGGTGAGAATTGATTGTAAATGCCAAATCACATATCCCCCCAAGCAAATTTAAAATCATTTATTTAATAGAAGAGAAAACGGTGACGGCCAGAGAAATAGACATATACATAAAGATCTGTAACAGCCTCCTCAAATCCCACAAACAGCAGAAATGCCTCTTCACAAACACATAGGCAAAATGTACACTCCACAAATATATTGGGTTGTCTTTGCATTTTGTTTTTACATACAACCGTATTTCCCATCCCAATTTGCCACATTAAAAAAACCCAATATAAAAACAAGTAAAAGTAAAAAGTTCCAAGATACAGCACATTGTCACTATTGAAAATGCACTCCTACATACATATAAAATTTCTGAATTGCCATCTCAGTGTTGGAGGAAGTCGTCAAAATACTTGTTGAACAAGACATGACTACTTTGCTTATATGTAAGATTTAAGCTTTAATTGAGTTCCTTTTTATTCTTTATGATAAAAAGAATAAGCCAGAGTGGCCTGGCTCATTTATAACAGTAAATCATAGGTTGATTTACACATCAAAAAGAAGGATTTCTGGATTATGTTATATTGGTAGGTGCTTGCAGTACTTGGGAATTAAAACTCATTTGCTGCATTTACTATTTATAACTTTAATCTGTTGGAAAGATACTGGAAGAAAATTACCCCAGAGGAGCTTTTGGAATGTCTCATGCAGTTGGAATGGCAAGCTGCTTTTCAGTTTAAATGATTACAGTGGTACCTCAGGATACGAACTTAATCCGTTCCGTGACTCTGGGCGTATCCCGAGTTGGTCGTAACC